TCATCTGTTAATAATAAACAATTGTCTTTTCTTCATCTGACTTGTCTCTCCTGATTGAACTCACAGTTGGCCTTCACAGACTGTGCTTTTACAACAAAACATCCCCTCAAGGCATGAAAATGCACAAACATACTTGCTAAACATACTATTCTTGTGATTTAGCCGTCGCTCCTCTGAGTCACCAAACTGACGTATTAAAGTATGAATCTTGACATAGGACAAGCAGTTTGGCCGTGGATGTGAAGCTTACTCTACAGAAGTGAGACGGCTGTCCAAGCACTAAAGAAACAAAGAATAATACGAAAAGACAGCCTCTGAAGTTGTGCATGAGCCAGTTGGGGCTGCAGCCAGGCGTGCATTTATTTAGCCAAAGGCACGAGTCATCTATTGCTGGCACTGCTGTCTGCATCACGCATATAGTACTATTGCTTTACTATGCTCATGAGGATGTTTTAAATCGCCGAAATTCTATCTAAGATGTCTGTCCTTGTAGAAACTAATGCCCACAAGAATTGACAGTTAGGGAAACACGCACATAGATTTGAAGCTGTGTGTGCCAGATATTAATAGAATAAAACCAGCCAGCTTCAGAAACATGCATGAAGGTGCTGACATGTACCATCGTGATCCCTCATTAAGACTCCCTGCTTCAGTTAAAATAATGAAAAGCTGCTTCCTGTCATGCTTGTGTACAGCGATGTCACACTTATTAGCAGAGAAAGGACATCAAAGCAGATGGGCGAGCACGATTAACTGAGCCTGGAATCGCTGGGAGAATTTATGTACAGCCAAGATACGACCAGCCATTTGAGGTTTAGCCAACAGGAAAAACCACAGCCTTCAGATCTACAGTAAAATAAAGAAGAAAGTGGCTCTGCATCTAACGAAGGGAGTGTACTCAGTAAACTCTGTTTTACAGGTGTGGAAGAATGATACAGTCGGACGAAGAAAAAAGCAGATTGAGATACCAACTATAAGATTGAAAAGTTCAGTTGTAGTGGAAAAAATTTGAGTCAAATTGGAGTTATAGCAATTCTTTCAAAACCGCAATCAAAACTCACCTAATTAAATCTGCTTTTAACCTGTGCTTTTAACACTAATTATATAATGTGTTTTATTTTGTTGTTATAATGTAATTTGTCTGCCTTGTTTGTATCATTATTGCTTTTACAGTTTCTGTTTTTAACCATGTGAAGTGCCTTTGAGTACCTTTTAAAGCGCTATACAAAATACATGTAATATTATTATTATCATAATCATCTTTAGAGTAACTAACCATAGCATGGCAGAGAAAGTGACACAATCTGCTCCTGCAGGTTGATGAAGCATCAACTGTGCAAGTAGACACAGGAGATGTCCGGCTAAGCAGACAAATCAATATTAAAGTCAGTTTTTTAATTAGCTAATTCATAAAACTACACAAAACAGACAATGCTGACAATTCATGATATTGCTTTGTTTGCAGAAAAATGACACCGACTACCACATGTTCTTGAGAGCAGGCTCAAATTGTGTGGTCTAAAAAACGTTCTACCTGTTCTAGCTGGCCCATGGAAACCTCTGAAATGCCACTGCTTCAGGAACGAAGAAACACAGCCTTGCTTTCAGCTTGACCACCCTGTATTTTCGGTTTTGAAAAGGCTTCATAAGACAAAACATGAGAGAATTTGTATCTCTCTTCTACTACATTTCAAGCACCCGCAGGCTGTACACTCCCTAACCAGCACCAAACTGCCGACAGACAAAGTTAGCAATTATAGTGGCAGGCAAGCAGGCAAATAAATCTAATTCATTCAGAGATTGCATGAAAAAAAACCCACAACAATGCCAAACTGTCAGGGGAGAAAATGCCCCAAACTGATCAGCCCATACAGGAATATTCATGTTCATCACTTTGGACATTAGCAACTAAAGTAAGCACTTGCTAGATAACGCCACAATAAATTAGCTTAATTTTTGGGATTTATACCAATGCAAATTAATAAACATACATTGAAAATGAGACATAGCAAACGCAACCTGAACTGAGTCCAAACATGCCATGTCACAATACATGAATGAAAGCCCACAAGTAAACAAGTAAACTTAGCTGCAAACGGTCTCTGGATGTATTTTTTTGATCTTTCATGTAGAATAGTAGGGAAGGTAGCCGTTAGATCACCAGGTAGAGCGCTTAAGTCTGAGTCCTTACCGCAGCGGCCCGAGTTCAAGTCCCGCCCATGGGCCCATTGCTGTCATCTATTCCCATCTCTCTCTCCTGCCTTCTGGTCCGTCTCTGTCACTATCAAATAAAGCAGAAATGCCAAAAGTGTATTAAAAATATACATTTATAATAATAGTGGGGAAATATAGTTCTCCAAAGTTTATAAAACCAGAATGCATAATATAAATTAATTCTGGGTTTATTGAGATAAAAATACATTTGCTGTAAATGTGAATTATGAAAGAACTTAAGTTCTCCAGAGGATTATATGTACGGCCGTGTGTAGCTGTAACCTTTCACCTCATTAACTCAAAGTCTGGAGGCAAATGAAGTTGAACTTTATCCTATTTAGGGGAGCACTGCAGAGACTTGATGCTTCGTAAAAATTAAAAATAAAATATATGTTTCACTGTCTGTTCCTTCACTTCCTGGAAAGGGCAGAAGTGAAAAGCCTCTCCCTCTCTCTCTGGGGAATTAATTAAAAATCTGCACAGCCATTATTGGCAATTTTTCATTACTGATAATTTATAGGATAGCTAGACAGCTGAACATGTGACAGCTGTTGTAACAAATAGATGGTTTCTCTTATACTTGTAGCCGGACAGAGAAGAGAGCTCTTTCAATTAAGCACTATAGATCACATCCTTGATTTTGGTCCTGGAACTAATCTGAAGCAAGTCACTTTCTGCAAATGAGTAATTTTAACTTTCATCCTTACTAGGGGGTCTCATTGAGCATGTTAATTGAAATTTTGAAAGAGCTGAAATGCATGGTCGTCTGTGACAGTGGTAAATGAGTCTATTCTGTATTCAAAGAATAGGTGAAAGTAGAAACTATATTACTAATATGATATAACGGTCATGTATCACAGTCTTCAAAAGCTTCATTCTTCTTGTATGTTCTGTTTTGTTTACAGTGTAGATCCCACTGGCACAGCTGTACAGGACGACAGTGAATCATTTACGTCTTCTCCCATCAGCAGGACGATAAGCAGACTCTCTGCCTCACACATGACACCAGACCTGGATCAAATAATAGTCTAGTCTGTTCTGATCTACTGGAACACTCGCTCAGTGGAGAAGATTTAGATTCAGGCAATTCACAGAAAAGTATTCTTCCTACACTATCCACTGCTTGCTTGACAATGTATGTACTATGAATGTATGTAAATCTCAGTACATCCTGAACTGCAACAACACCAACAGAGTCATATGATTTATCATTATCAGTGGTGAAATATAACTAAGTACATTTACCCAAGTACTGTAGGCTACTTAGATGCAATGTTTTGCATTTTATGCAACTTCACATCAGGAAATATTGTCCTTTTTACCACTTCATTTTGTGAACAAAATGAAGTGGTATACATACAACATTTATGTTCACTTAGTTTATAAAATATGATACATTGCTACAGATTTAATTATCTCCATTAGCTGCAACATTACAATGCTGCTCAGACATTGATCCAACCATAACAGTAATATAATATACAGCGTTAATATGCTGCGTTTTAGGTGGAAAATAACATTTGGACAAATATGCAAAATCTGAAAATTAACAATTTGACATAATGTGACATTTTCATACAGGTTTTAATCCAACTGGGCACGTACCTGTTCTCATCGACGTGTTGTTATACTGGTTAGTTTCCCGTTTGTATATGCTGCCAGTTTCGGTAAACTACGTTTGGACACTTTCACCACGTTGTCCTGCTGCTTTCAAGTTTGGCAATCCTCTCAGAGAGCTGCTTGACACCCTGAAAGTCTGTTGTTGACCCAGACATTATCCCATCCCAATAACACACGCGTGCTAGCGTCTTTTTTTTACCTGCGGTTTGGTTTGTGACAATATCCCGCAGCTGGTGGGCACCTCAATGTTTAATATTGAGCTTTTGTTCGAAAGCCAACCTTTTTAATTGTGTGTTTGAAAATATAATCTCTCGATCCACATCGTTCATGGTGACCGCAGTTTACGTTACCTTGCTCCATAGCCAAACTACGAGCCAATGAAATAGCAGCTGGGGGCAACAGGTGAACATGTGTGCCATCCGCCTAACTTCCCTAACCAAACACTATTTATAAATCATTATTTGCAGTCACTGACTAAAGATAATAAATCACTGTATAATGTATGCCATGCATTAATCCAGAATTATGTTGATTGATGAATATGTTGATAATCATAGGCCTACCATTAAAACCACATAAACCCCACATTCTGTAGCCAGCAGGTGGCTTTTCCCCGTTGTGGGGGGCATTTTTCTGCATTTTGCTCATTATACTTACTGTTATGCATGTAATGTAAGAATTTGAATGCAGGACTTTAACTGCATACCTCTTAGCCACTGAATAGTTTTGACCTTGTGGCCCCTATTCTTCTGACATTTACTCCTATAGAAATGACACAGAGTTGGTCATTATGGCCTTTCCTCCTGCTTTACTGTGGACTAATAATCTGGATGGAGTAGTCCAGCTACACCGCGTCCATATAAGGCTTTGAACACCTTCACTGATGAGGCGCTGTACATTTTTTGCTGCTGAGAAATTGTATTATATAAAGTGTCGACGGTGAGTATATCTAGTGAGACACTGACTTGCAAAATAAATAAACAAATACGAACGTTTAATACGCATGAACTAGATCGTTTTATGCAGGGTATTACTCGCACAAGTCATCTCATTACCAAAAACTGCTGTGTTCAACGTGATGCTCGTGACATCAGCTTTACCACCAACCACGCAATTGTGCGTGGTGCTTCTATTTTTTGCTCTAGAAAGCTATTTTTGAACAGGGGTGCACCAACGTGCTATAGACTCTAGCCGAGTAGACAATATAAGTAGCGACAGAGCCCGAAAGCTTGAAGTACTTTCATGTCCCTTTCAGAGCAGCGTGTCAATGCGCAATTGCGCAGCCAGGAAACTCTGAGCTGTGAGACCATAGGCAAGGAGGATTCTGGAAAACTACCGCAGTGCCTGTCGGAAAAAAAAGCCTCCTGCTGTGACCCCATTCCCATGGAAATTCATTTCAAATGTTACTCATTGTGATCAGGTGAGCACTATTTCTCTATGAATTCCCTGCGGCTTGATCTTGGACGGTATTGGAGGGACCGTTTCGTTAATTGACATTTGGACACATTGGGAGGTTAAGCATGACAATGTATTGGACTCATATATGTTGTGGCAGCAACTCACGATGACAGTTCGCATCAGGACGGTGGATGCACTTATCAAAAGTCAGGATATTTCAGGGGAAGCACCATGGACGCAGCGGACATAGTTGCTTCCGTTTTGGTTTTGGGGATAATTATCGTGTCGCTGCTGTCCAACATTGTGGTGCTGATCTGCTTTCTGTACAACCCGGAGATCCGCAAACAGGTACCCGGTCTTTTTATTCTCAACTTGACGTTTTGCAACCTGTTGCTAAGCGTGTCAAACATGCCACTAACTCTGGTCGGGCTCGTCACCACGGGCTACCCCGGAGGCAGCGGCTTCTGCCAATTTGTGGGTTTCCTCGACACTTTTCTCACCACTAACTCCATGCTGAGCATGGCAGCTCTCAGCATCGATAGATGGGTGGCGGTGGTGTTCCCTCTGAGCTACCACTCAAGAATACGGCACCGGGATGCAGTGGTAGCGCTGGCATACACGTGGATCCACTCACTTTGCTTCTCAACAGTGGCCACCTGCCGCTCCTGGGTCGGGTTCCATCACCTTTACGCTTCGTGCACTCTCTGCAACGTCAGGGCGAAGGGAGCCGGGACGCAGTTCGTCATTTTCACGGTGGCTTTGCACTCCCTCACTTTCCTCCTCACGCTGATCGTGTTGTGTGTAACGTACTTGAAAGTGCTGAAAGTCGCAAGGTTTCACTGTAAACGCATCGACGTGATCACCATGCAGACGCTGGTGCTGCTTGTGGATATCCACCCCAGGTAAACAATCATAGAGATGCATTCAGTCTAATCCGCTTGTCCTTTTGATGCATTTGTATTTCACTGAAGTGATTTCTATCTGTTCCCTTTCATTTTGTCCACTATAACATTTCAGAAGGAGCATTTTGATCCTGTGGAAAAAATTGAGAACATGCTCTAAAGAATTCTGAGAGTTTAAGACACAAATAGTGACCCACCGAGTGTTTATAATATAGAATACCAAAAGGATGGTGGTGGGTTTACTCTTCTTTGCTTTGCAGAAAGTGCTGAGTTTTTAGAAGATGGACAGGAAAAATAATCAATTTATTCATCAAAAACATTGCCTGGCTCCAGATTGAGGATTTGCTGTTTTTTATCTTTTTAATCAATTTCTACTATATATTTTTTTGTAGTTTGGACAGTTGGTCAGACAAATTGAGCAATTAGGAAATGTTACCTTGGGTGCTGTGACGCACATTCTTCCGAATACATTTCATAGTTATCTGTAAAAAACTAATATTTTGAAATGAATCTATAATCAAAGAAATTGGTTACAGTAGTTATTTGCATTACTACACAGTCAAAATAGAATTTTAACTATTTTAAACCACACAATGTATACACAAAACTTTCTGGAGCATACCTCTATGTGGCTACACATGAATATAAATGTCTCCACTGATGATGAGTGAACTCTGTCAAGCCTGTCTGCAGTCAGTGTTTACATTATTATGTCTCATTAAGGTCAGAAATGCCTCCATTTTTTTTTGTGTATCTATCATTTGCTATCCATCCGGATTTACACTTTCAATGTCTCTCCATTTACATAATTGATGTACAGTATCCAATGTAATCCTCAGCGATAACAGGGCACAGTTCACTGCTTTCTTCTCATCCATCCCACATGTTTTCTCTGTGGACTGCTTCATTGTGGCTGCATGTCTCTGAACATGCTTCCTGGGGATAACGGTGCCTGTGTGTGCTTTGGCAGTGTGCGGCAGAAATGCTTGGATGAGCAGAAGCGGAGGCGGCAGAGGGCCACCAAAAAGATCAGTACTTTCATCGGCACATTTGTGGTGTGCTTCACCCCACATGTCATTACAAGGTGAGCAGAGATTCATTAGATTCTAATTGGGGTTTTTGTGCACTCATCCTCACCTTTCCTTTCTTTTGAATCACACTATTGAAAAGAAATGCTTAACATACAGCATAAAGGATATTGAACTACAGCTCAGCAATAAAATAAATTGAATTATCTTCCTCGTTCAGCTTCATAAGTACAACTCTCCCAGGACTTTCTTTCCCTTACCTTGTTGCTGCTAATGCGCTTCTACTCGCCTTATCGTTTGAATACAGATGGTGATAATTATTTTCAATGCTGTCTTGTTATCTGGTAACGTTCTGGTAACTGCTTCCTTTTCATAATGTCACAGCTCATTGGCTCTACACTCATTTCTCATCCTTGTCACTGAGTTTCCACAGCTGGGGAGATGAGAAGGAGAGAGACAGGGAGAGAGGGAGATAGCCAATGAGTCAGTGATGGTATCACTGGCTCTCATTAGTATTAGCCACAGTATTAGTGGTGGCAACTTGTCAGAAGCTGTTAATATTGTGGTATGGAAATAGAAAGGAAGTGCATTAGGAGCAGTGCGGTGGTGAGACACGTTCAACTTGAGGAGATCATGCCAATTACGAAAAGACAGATTGAAGACAAAACAATGCTCCTGTTGGTTTTTACTTTGTCTTTAATTTCATTTAGAAGGACAAAAGAAGTGTCAGGCACTGGATTTGTTGAAAAGTTATTTTAACAGCAAGAAGTCTGAAGCTGCAAAACTGACACCCATCAGTTCACGTTCCCCAACACAGTGGTGACATTTCAGTGAAGTGAAATGATGACATTTTGTCAATATTACAGCACCGGGGGAGGGTCATTAGCTTTACTCTTTCACTCCACTTACACTGATCTAAGAATTGGCTTGCGTCTTGCTTATAGATGGTGTGTGACCTTTTTTTCTTCTTTTGTTTTTTGTTGAGGCAGAATTGTAGAGCTGTTCTCCCCAGGGCCCATAAGCCCTCACTGGGGAGTGCTGTCCAAATGTTTGGCCTACAGCAAGGCAGCAAGCGACCCGTTTGTCTACTCGCTGCTGCGTCACCAGTACAGGAAGACCTGCAACCTTCTGGCTAACAAAGTCCTCAAGAGGAGTCCACTCAACTCCTCCTCCCTCAGGATGGAGAACAGCGCAGCGAGGAGCGACAACCATTCCAACACAACCAACAACATCCGACAGTAGATTGACCTCTGCGTGACGGTGTAACATCAGAGTGAACTGTTAACGTAATTATTGTTGAAGGACAAAGCTGGCAATATTCTCTTTTTTTCTTATTGTCAGCAAATCCCATGAAAAGACTAAACTCGACAAGACGACTTTCCCATCCTGTCCTGAAACGTGTTTACAGTGTACGACTCTCAGCAGCAGATTTGGTACACTAGCAAATATTTACAGAAGCAGGACTGCATACATAAGATCAACGTAAAATAAACTACACTGCCCATGTAATGAAGGAACATGTCACCCAGCGAGTGTGGCTCATAGATGTATTTTTAATAGTTTTTGGACAATGATTGAGGTGTAAGGCCCAGAGGAATAATCTGTATAAAGCTTTGGCTACACAGGAAATAATAATCAGTAGGATCCATTCATTGTAAAAATATAGAATATCCTAAAGAATAATTGACAGACCCCTTTTGTAGATTATGTGTGTAGATTGTAATGGCATTAATTATTTCAATACAGATGTAATACCGTCTTTTTCTGCAAAGACTGACAGTTTCCAATGAGCTTATTTCGTAGCATTCTGGTAAATGTGTGTCAAAATGTGTTTTACATCACACCTGAACTGAATGGCAATGTTTCTAAATTCAAGCAACACCTCTGACCTCAATGATGATTCTCTGGCTGGATAAAGGTAATATAGTATATGTTGGAGGGATAATATAAAATAGATGAGTATTTTAAGTGATGGTTTAATTGAAATGACTGTATGCTGTAGCTGTGAGTTCTAAAGTGCCTTTTAGACTACATGAGCTCGCTGATTTAATCAAAACACAACAGAGGAAACCTTCACATTCTGTCATTTTCTTGGTATTCTGTGCTGTGGTCAAGTGTGATTATGGAGCCTGTGATGCAGTTTGGTGACATTGTAAGAAAGTTTTTAGTGATGTTTATTTTGTAATAGCCACATTGTATTGTTGCATCGAGCAGAACAGGGCGAAATGTTATTTGAATGTGGTAGCAGCTATTCTGTGATGTGTAATTAGCGGCTGTGTGACGTCTGGTTGTAAAAATGATTCATTTTGACAACGCTGGCAAATCAGGATGTTGTGTTTTTACTTTACTGTGACAGTATGAAGACTTTTAAAGGCTTAAAAACTATTTATTTTTGTGAAAACTGTGTCTGATTTTTTGCTAAATGCATTTGTGACTATATTGCAATAAATGCTGTGCATTTTGACATTTTAAAACCTCACAAGTTTCTTCTTATACATCTATTAATGTCTGTAATCATTGCTGTATGACCTGAATAGACATCCACGCTCATTTTTAACAATGCTTTACCAAAAGACAAGTCTGCCAAATCTTAACACCTTTATTCTCCCACGCTGATCAAGTCAAGGAGAAGGAATAATTCATTTGAAAAATAATTTAAGATGTGTTCCACCCACCACTGCTGCTGTTGATGTGGCAGCAGAACAAAGACTTTTCACAAAAGCATCGGGGCTGTGAGTTAAAGGCTTTTTTTAAATTGTAGAGCCGCTATATGGAGTGGGAAAAGAAGAAAAGTAGCCAAGAAAAGTCCATGCAGCTGTGACAGTACTAAAAATTACGGGGAATTTGCATCCGCCATCCACCATCATAAACCAAATTTCAATCATGTATCGTTAAAAAACTCTTGTTAACCTCCATTTTCCAGCTTCAATAACAAGCGCCTGCAACAAAGTCTATTCTATCTCCATCAAAAACATGAGACAATCATGACTCATCACCCATCAAAGCTGCCTCCACCAAGGGGGGCAAAACTACATTTATCATATTATTGTAGTCAGTAGTGTTCCCCAATCTAGGGGAATTGCTGGAGAGTATTCAGAAGGTTTGGAAGGATCCCCAGTCTCTAATCTCCTTGGGAGACTCAGTGAGTGGGTGAGAAGCAGACACCAACCTGCCATCCAACAGACCTTGTGATTAAGCCACAGCATGTAGGAAGTACAAGAAAGCAGAGGAGGAAGGCTGAGAAGACGAGTGCACTGGCTGACTTCGCACAACACCGATGTGAGGGAAAGAGTGGTTCTCCCTGACTCATAAAGTAAAGGTTGTGCCTGAAAAACCTCATCACATTTACTTAAGGGATTCCATCACGTCACTGAAATTACATCCCATGCTGCCACACAGTCACAGTGCAGCCACCGTCTCTACATCTGACTGAAAGGAAGTTACATACAGTATGTCCAAATGTTGCATGAAGGAGACAGCTGGGTAAAGCTCAGACCTAAGACCACACTTGACACAAAAACATCCTGGCTTGTACATTAAATAAGTGAATTACATTCATCTGGAAAAACATGTGCATAAAAACTTTCCTAAGTCATGAGAATTGAGGAAGAGAAGAAAATACATGAATTTTTATTTTTTTAACTGCGTCATAAACGAAAGCAGCTGTCAAATTGAGCAGAACATCCAGAGTAATTTGAGTCACCCACGAACAGCAACTTCTTTTAATCAGCAGCAGCAACACTGAACTGCATAAGTAATTAATCCTCCACAACTCACTGAGAAAACTTATCTGATCAAACCTTTTAAAATGTCTTTATGCCAACAAAAGTATACACAAATACAACAAAAATGTATAGCATACAAGGCGGATCACTGTTCGCGCCCTCAGGTTTGCTCATTAATCATACTATAACAGGTGTTGCACGTCAGCTGGTGTTCATAGCAGCCAAAACATGAAGTGATAATGAATACTAGATGCATTATTGTCTCATTTACTATCAGTCTTTTTTTGTTTTGTCTCAGCCCTCAACCTCTGACAGGCTTGGCCATATCTCTGGAGCCATCAGACTGGCTACAGGCATTTAATGTGAGTCATGGGAATGTTGGACCCAGAATTCACGGTATTCCCCATCCCTCGAGCCAACAGCCTGCCCTGCTCATAGGACAAAAAATAAAAGACCATCTATTTCTGTCCAGGAATGCTGTATTTGGTTTTGCTGTGGATTGTAAAAAAAATGTCTCAAATGCATTTGCAGCAGTGTTTTAAAAAGTATCATGGTCTTCAAGTGACAAATCTCAAACCTCTATTATACAGTTTTGAGGACATGTAAGGACTTCAGATAAACAGCTTTTGATTTTATTCCTTTGATTTTATCCAATACTTTTGGAAAACGTCTCATAGGCACAATCGTGTCAATTCAAGTAGGAGATCATGCCGTTCAACTGAAGTCATGAAGATCAACAAAACCTGATTCAGAGGGTAATCCCCCATAAGGGAAAGGTGTGCTCCACGGGTCCATGTACAGCATAAGTTGTCTGCATTAAATTACATTGTAATCCATCCAATACTTGCTGTGACATTTCACTCTGAGATACAAATGTCAACCTGCTGATGATACAAGAGGATGGTTCACCAAAGTCATTCGGAGTCATCCTTTGGGTAGCATGGATATCTGCAGCAGATTTATTGGCAATAGTTATTGAGATAATTCCCTAAAAAACAAACATGTCAGCCTCATTGTGGTGCTAGAGGTAAAGTCAGGGGGTCACTTAAGTCAGTAGGCTTCATCCTCTGAGGACCACGAATGTCTGTACAGAATTTCATGGCAGCTCACCATTGTTTAGATATTTCCAAGAGCCACGTAGCTAAAAGGTTAAAAATCAAAATTATTAAGAGGGATTTTGATGACTGGTTAAAATAAATAAATAGCAGCTAAGTCGCTTTGGCCCAAAGCATCTGCCAAATAAACGTCTTGATTTTACAGATGTGTCAATGAAAGAAACATAGAAATAATCACAGACAGTTGTGTGTTAGACATACATGTTTAAAAGTATGAAAATTATGAGTTTTCCCGTGCTCCACACAAGCACCAATCAAAATGTGCTGGATGTGTCTTCTGCAATAATAGATAATCGCCTGGCAGCACTTTGCATATCCCAAGCACCAGGTTGCTCCAGATTCAAAGCAATGAAGGCATTTAACAACTTAATCCAATCTGGCCTTTACATAAACATATTAGACCAGTGTCCAGCTATACGATCTATAAGATCCCCCGTTCCAGCAACTGCTTCAAAATAATCAGCAGATGGGTTGAAATATGTGTATTGAAATGATATGCGTGTTCAATATATGTGCAATATGAGCAAGATATTTATGTCAAAGCAGATGTAGTCTCTGCTTTGACAGTAATCTCAGATTTTGATGCAAGAGAAGGATAGAGTGTGAAAAAAAGACTCACACACAGATGTACGATAACGATTATATTATACAAGGGCACTTTACATACAAAAATTACACAAAAACAGAGTCCCTTCTCCCGCAGCTGCATCATATCTTTCTGTTGATGCAGAAACGCTGGCTGCTCCTTATGTCTCGAGTCACATCCACAGCAGAGTAATGCTGCTCTGCATCAAACAGCAGAACTCCAGAAGAGGGAATTCAGCAACAAAAATAGATCAGAGGGTAGAAAATGCTCCACGTGTTGTTATTTCATTCTTAATCAAAACTCAAGACAAGACAGCCGACAAGGTGTAACCATGAGGCCTTTATTTGCATGTTAATACCAAGTGATTGTGAATGAGCTTGCTAGGAGTATTATGAGTACTTTTTGAAGAATATTCAAGATTACTCAATGATTTACTGGACGGCCACATTAAGGCAAATGTGGATGAAGTTAGAGTTTTACTTTAATTGTGCCTGCTGCTGACAAGTAATGAGAGTATGACGTATGTGTATTCAGTCCTCAGAGTGGTTTGTGTGGGTAGCAGAAATAAATAATCTGTCATAGCATAATGAATACAGAGAGGCGCATAAATGTATTATAGATTAGAATGTGGTGAGGGAAGATGTAAATGAATTCCCCTCTGTAAAACAAAATCTGTTTGTTTTGAAATTACCTCTTGAAAAAAAACATTCACTTTTGATCCAAGCAACAACTACATGTTACATGAAATGGGCTGAGGAAGTACAATACATCAGCTGCATCTGAACACCTTGTTCAATCAAACTGATACAAAGCTAAGTGCCACAAATGCTGTCTTGTCTTCATGTCTCCAGTTAGCATGCTGCCCATGTTTACCAGTGCTGCCCAGTATACAAGGCACATATTCAGACAGCTGCCTTCTACTTCATTGATGGAGCGCTGCACGCAGACTCCCAACCTGCTAAAATTCCATTAACTTGTCTCTACAGTGTTTCAATTCAAATGAAATCCATTTTCTTCGCCCAACATCCATATTGCATTTTAAAATACATGGCTTTGTGTTTTAGGCAACAATTGGAGTAATTAGTGCTACAGTGGCACTGCAATAATGTTATTCTATGAAAACTAGTTTCACTTTTCTATCCATTCACAGTCACTTTACATTATATAAACACACAGTCGTCGTACCTTTACCATGTGGCATTTTGCTATAAAACCCTTTGATAACCTCTGGCTGATGTTATGAAATGCATTTGACAGGTGATCCCACCTTTCTCATTACACTGCTGTCAGCTGCAGTGATAGCTGTGTGTGATAAAAATGTGCCAAAAAGACCCACTGTGACATGAGATACCATTAGAAATCCCATCAGACAATAATTGAGACCAAAGAGGGGCACGTCTAAACTGACACAGAGACGACGTATCCTCTTTTAAAGGTGTGTTAGGGTTCAGGGAAAGTAAAAGCTGAAGCAGAAGTATCCACTCAGGGTTGTGTTATATTTGAACAGATAGCATTCGCAGTTTCATGCCCTGCGAGAAAAAACAACAACAAAATATCTTCTCATGCCGAGCGGCACATTGTGTGAGGAGAGTGTGACATTCAAATGCAACAGGATGCGAGTGTAGCTCAGTTACCATATATGTCTCTTTCCAGGCCCCTTCCACTCATATAATACCCTCAACCACAGAGGACATCTGAAAAAGAAATCTAAGGAGGAGTCATTATAAGGGAGCGAAAAAAAAACCCAATGGGAAGGGATTGGGAATCTATCAACAGGACAGAGAACAAAACAGATCCACGCAATTATTGTTTCAGCCAGCTAAGAACCCACGGCTTAGGGAAAATCCTAAGCCGTGGTCATTTCATTAGGAGAGACCTCAGCGGTGAAAAGATCGGCGACAAAAGAGCCGCTTTCTGAAGAACGGCGGTTAGACATCGAAAAGCTGCTCTCACATAAAGTCAAATGAACATGCAGGCTCGTTTCCTGTGAAAAGGAGAATTCCTGTCAAGTGAGAACACTTGATAACAATAACGAAAGGGAGACCTGATTGCAGATTACTTTCTAGTGAAATAGTACGGGGGAAAAAAAGTGTTTGAATTATCTAACAAGAAAGGGAGATGATCCAATGAGAAATGGAAGGGCTCCATACTCAGTCTTCTATTGCGGATACTATTTTGAAATTAATGTATTAATGTTTCTTTGCACTCTGAGATGTTTGCACGCTGAGATGGGACTTCAAGTAAAAAAATGTCAACACTTGACGACTTCTCTGTCGCTTCACAGAAGAAAGATCCATCGGCCTGAAGTTCTCATGTTCCCCAGTGTCAGCATGGGTGTCCTTCTGAGTGCTCCAGATTCCTCCCACACTCCAAACACATGCAGTTCAGGTGAACTGGAACCTGTCAGTGTGATTGCTTTGTCTGTGTGTCAACCTTATGAGAGTGCCAACCTGTTCAGTGTGTACGCTGCCTCTCGCCCAGTGTGAAAATGGGATAGGCTGCAGGTTAGTGGGCACAGATAATAAGTTTGAAAAGTGCTAAAAAAAACGTGTTTCCAATGCTTTTGTACTATTAGTGTTATTCAATGTTTTTGGTGCATCACATCATTTTATACACGTTAACTCATGCGAACGGCATGGCTCTATGGATGCCAACTTTGGTCCAGACTGGAATATCTCAACAATTATTGGGATGATATAAAATTTGTTAGCAATTTCCATGGTGCACCAAAGACTCATTTAAATGACACAGGTGATCCTCAGAATGTTCCTCTAGCACCACCATGAGGTGTTCAGGCTGTGAGTGAAATGTATCAACAAATGTTGGATGGATTGACATAAAATGTGGTGCAGTCATGGTTCCTTGATTCATTATTTTTATCTAGCGCCATCATCAAGCCCACATATTCATTTGTCCAATACTTTTGTTTATGACCAAATACCTCCAAACTCAACTTCAGCTGTACTTTGTGTTTTAGTACTAATACGCAAATGTTAGCATGCCAACATGCTAAGCTAAGATGGCAAACGTGGTACACCTTTTATCTGCTATGTAAATGGCACATAGTGCAATTCATTACAGTAGTGGAAATACTAGGTTATGGAGTACTAATCGTGTGTGTGTGTGTGTGTATGTGTGTTCCCTTAATTATAATATAAGCAACATCATCACTGACAGCAGCGGACATGGATTAGCAGGCATGTGTAAATTTGTGTGCCTTTTTGTGCAGACGTGTCGAGAACGAACTAAAAGGGATGAGGAATAACGGGAGTGGCATGACATTGAACCTGACAGAGAGGAGACATCATCACCTGCTGTGAACTACGAAGGCTCCGTGTTTTATTTCCTCTTATCACATCGCTCACTAATAAAGAGACAGAGCAGTGAAGCTACGCTACTCTGCAAGATCCAAGCTGATCTGATGTGCTTGTTAACCACGAGAGAAGAAAACATAATGCAAGAAGATAATTTTTCTATACAATGATCTCCTTATGGAACAACATGCACCTGCATATTAATCAAAGCCAAAGAAAGGCAATTTAAAACTAAAGGCGGACATGTTGATGGTTTGCGTTTAATGGAGGGTGTTTGAACCGTGGCCGTTTATGTCCTAGTTTGTTGGTCTACATTATTTTATTTTCATATCTAGCACATTGATTTAGCATTTTAAAAAGTGGAGAAACTGTTGACTGAAATTATTTTAGAGGTGTCATAATATGACTGATTATGTCCTAGTAAGGGACTATTTTCAGTCACTATTAAGCCCTCTGAAGAAGGCAAATGTCTTCTGTCAGTCCTTGAGTGACACGTTGTTAAAGCACAAGAACACATACCTCATCCACATTTAATTAAATCTTCCATTATCACACCCTTTTGTGCTCTTGTGAACGTCACAATATCATCTCTGTGCATATAGCGTAGCGTGTGTGAAATTCAATTGAATTCAAGAGGTTAACATAATGTAAATTAAATTCCTCTGCTCTGGTATACATCCAACTAAATTTGAATACAGACTAAGACATATATCCTATTATTCATGCCATCAAGAGCCATAAAGATATCCTGTTATTTCTGTATTAATAGTATAGATTTGTGTTATTGTTTTTCTGCTTGTGTATTGTATAAACCTTAACAAAGTAAAAACACCTGTATGCATCGTCACGTGTGGTCTTTGCACATTGTCATTTATATAGAGTAGCATGTGTATTTCTTTGTTACAAAAATCATCCCACAAATGTTGCCTTTCTCCATTTAACCAGGATGAAATAAACAGAGTCCCAGCAGTGGGCCTCTCTATTGTGCAATCAAATGAGATAGCAGGATGAGTTTCCTTTCACTGAAATTGAAGTCATAGCACAGTTCAACCATGACTGATTGCCTCTGCTCAGGCCCAGTAGTACACAGAGATTTATCTCTTTCATTCTTTTACTCGGTTTGTCTCCGCCAGCGTGAAACTGAACATGCCACCTTTAGATGTAGCTGGCTGCTGCTGATGGGTGGCCATAAGGAGACACAGCCAATACACATAGTCAGGACATGTGCCTTTGCAGCTCAATCAACAGAGGTTTGATGTTTGTGCTCTGTGTAAGTGAAAGATAAAAATCCCCCTTAATCATGAATGGTAATATAAATAGGTTTACTTCCAATGGATTCATATTCCTCAGCGTCTAATCTTTCATACGGAATCGGAAACATGCATATAAACCTTATGGTTGAACTATTCCTGGTTCATTTAATGTATGTTATTTTAGGCATTCCTCCTATAGCTAGGGCTTAAGAGGATAATAGCAGCCTTCTGCCAAAAATGTAACAAGTCATAATCATCCAAAAGAATTACCATATGAATCTGAAAGTGTTGGTGGCGTTACAATTATGAGAATGATTCAGGATTAGGTCTGATTCTCCGTCTGATTAGAGTAGGGATGGACCGTCATATAATTGGATTAATTGGGCTGAGTACTCTCTGAATCATAGTGCCAGATGTCTGCAATTTGCTGTTCTCAGTACAGCTGACAACTAAATAGATGCTTGATACAGGATGTTTAATGTGCTCGCCTCAAGCTACCTTTTTTAACACAATGTCAATATGGTTGTTTTTAATCACCTGCTATTTTCCTATCATTGTCACCAGCGATGCCATTTTTCTCCTGCTGACCGAAGACAAGCTGTAACTCTGTACCAGCCAACAGCAACTAGTGGACTTTTTAAACTTTGTTACTTACAAATTTCATTGAAGAACAAACAGTTAAGCAGAGGACAGTGAAGAACACACACAAAACTAACGGAACATTGAGGTGCAAAGGGTAAATGGACAACAGCATGTTTTGTTCCTACTACCTGTTCTGTACAAAAGATATTTTAGTCAAGTGCAGACATTTGTGGTTGGGATGGAAACGTCTGCTGATAAGTGGGTTGTTTTTCACGCGCTGATGTAGACCTGAAGGATGAACTTGGGAAGCCCTGACAACTCTTGTAAAGTTTTTATTATTGGTAAAAGCACATATGCTTTTAGCCAATTATAAAGCTTTTCACATAGATTGTTTCCTTGTTATTACTGTTACTGTCTGCTGCTCTGTTGAAACCCAAAGGCCAGTCTCATTTTATGAAACTTTGATAGTGTTTCCTCAGTGAACTAGTGAGAAGAAACTTTTGAAATAAATAAAAGTTGGCATGAAAATAAAATGAAGAGTGAAAACAGCTTCAGAGATAAACCTTTCACTCCCCCATCAGTTCAATCCTGCCTGAAAATGTTTACTGCATACACAACAAACAGAGTGTCCGTTATTCTGAAACAACAGCTTAACCACATTCACAAGTATCTCTGCCAGAAATGTTGTTGTTTTTACTATTTTTCTATACATATATATAAACTAAACAGTTGGGGTCAAAGAGCAACAAAAAAAAACACGATTCAACCATCAGTAGACAATAGGCAAGACTTTTTGAAGAAAATGTAATGCTGACTGGGCATACACATCATTTACCAAAAAAATGCCATTGTTCAAAAAGTCAAGTGTAAAAACAACAAGTAATGGAACTTACAGAAATTCCACTGACTTAGTTGGTTATAGCAACCTAACAGTGGCGACATCAATCCTAGCCATTTCCCCCTGCTCCCAGTATGCTAAGCTAAGCTAAACTAAGCTAACCAGCAGCTGGCTGTAGCATTAAATTCAAACGACAAACAAAAAATACTTTAAAATGTGATTAAAGCTTATAGGCCTATACAACAATCAGTATTCCATTACGCCTCTGTCTCCTTCAGTAGCTGTGAGCTTCTGCTGCTAGGTAGGCAAGTGATATTTATTCATTGTGTTCTCCATTGATTCACTAATCAATGATTCGAGGATGCTCCAAAACTTCAATTGCCTCTTTCCCTCCCCAACATGCCAAATTTACCTCAGGCCTTCACAGATGAGCTGCAGAGAAGAGCCAAACAAAACCAAGAAGGAAGATATTTTAGACAAAGGATTAGTGTGAATCAACAAAACAAAACAAAAAAATCATAATCATAAACAATGCCAGGAACCTGAAACTAAAATTCAGCCATTCATTTTATTATTCAGATCTGCGCCTTTCCTACTGTGACATGACCGAGATCGTATGATGTAGCATTTTCCAGTAGATGAAAACATTGTTTGTTTTGGACACTAAATTTGTTTAATCCTAGCTGTCCGTGTGGAATTATTTTCCATTTTGAAGTGATGACAAATACACACCTTACTCTAGGTAACCGACTTTAATGTGCCCTCGAGCAAGGCACGGAACACCAGACTGCTTTAGTGAAGCTGCTCAGTGGACAGTACATGATGATGATGATGATGATGATGCTCTTTTTTCATGTCAGCTCTCAGGTGTGAATGAGTTGAAACTGTGAAACTGGGTGTGAAGCGAAACAATGGGTGGTCAGTTGACCCTCACTTCATTATAGCTCCTAAAATACATCCACACACACACACACACACACACACACACACACAATCCAATGTCTTATGTCCTTGAAAAAATGAAGGTATGTCAAAAGACACCTCATCTGTTTCTTCTGCCTTTGACAATCATGGAGAGGATTGCCATCAATATCACATGAAGAGGGCAATCTGCCAAGCCTGACTACCTTTGTCTCTTCAGCCGAACTCTGTCGTCATCCGTGAGACCAATCGCATTGTAAATGCACATAATCAAAGAGCTAAAAATGGCAATTCTGTGCTCACTGAGCCTTGCTTAGTATCTTATCTTTGAATTCCTCTATAAGTGCATGTGGGAAAATGTCACCTTTAATCTGCCGTCAACCCATCAAGCGTGCAAGGTTCAGATACAGGGTTGACACGATAATGATGATGATAATGACAGAAAAGTGGTTCCATGTTAAGTATCAGTTTAAGGAAGCAAAGCTCTGATGTTATGTCATACAGTAAATGAGTCCTTAAAGGTACAGTGTGTAGCGTTTTTTATTAGGATCTATTGGTAGAAACGGAATATAATATTAAAAAGCTTTTTTTCTTAAGCTGAAAATAAGATTTTTTTTGTCTTTTCGTTACCTTAGAATGGGCCTCTACATGTTTTTACATTATGTCTGCACTAGCCCAGAATGGACAAACCAAACGCTGACTCTAAATTGGGCCATTTGCGTTTTCACATCGGCCACCGTCGTTCTCTTTCACGCTCGGCTCACGGGAGATATTTCAGTTGATTGCGATCTTACCACTACATGCCGCCAAATCCTACACACTAATCATTTAAAACAAGAACTGTTGAGTCAGTTCATTATATAAAACACAATGTTGGTTTTCCATGACAGAAAAAGAGTGCTCACAGGCAATAAGTTGGAGACAAAATAGTCGTTTTTTTACGGTGGGCCTACTACTTTTCACAAGAAGTTCCCATCTGCCTGTTTTTATGCGCATTTTCAATTTGTGCATAAACAAACTGAGTGGAAACGCCGAAAATTAAAAAAAAGCCATTTGAAGTATCGCTATAAAGTTCTTATGCTTGGCTGAGGTGAAAAAGTTGCAACAAAGTGCAATGGAAACAGAATAAATGATGACGTGCATAAATCACGTGACTTACCTGGAGTCTGAAAATAGCGGCAGATTAAAACGGTCTCCTTATCACCCCACACAGATATGTTGTAACCTTCCTAACATTAGGCTAATCCACGAAACAAACAGATATGTCATGTTTACATCGAGATTTCTACATTGTTTTTCAAAATTCGAGTTTGAGGTCCGACTGGCGCTCTTGGAATTACGTCATCTTGTTGCAACCTCTTCTTCTGCCGTGGTGGTTTTCTGACTGGATAATTGGTGCCACCTGCTGTAATAATCGCATAACGGTAGTGGATGAACAAATATTATTCACAATTCACAAGCTAATTACTATTTCTATAGCGATGAGAAGCAATGCTTGAATACGCATGACACACGCCATTCCGTCTGTATTTAGCACAACTATGATATTTCATCAGATAAAGGCTAATGGTGTGCCTACGTTATATAGGTACATTTCTGTGGGTGCTTTTGCAAATATTATTTTTGTATTGTGATTTTCGATGTAAATATGATGAAAAATGATTACAAATACATCTAATTATATAATTATTTTTGATCACCTGGAGGAATTTGATTGCAGCGTTGATTGCCCATGCTATTAAATCACCCCAGGACTCCATCCTTCTGGTTTAGTTCCACTGTATTTGTTTTTTTAAAGGTTTTTTAATGTACCATACATACATGATGGTATATGTACATTAGCTGCTAATACTGTATATGAAATCCCCATAACTAACAAAGCAAATTATTCTGTATGTGGAAGCTTAAACAGCCATGGCTGTAATGACATGTATTGTGTCACAGCAGTTCTTTGGAGTGTTTGGACATTGAGCGACTGCAATATTGTGTTTTAGTGCCCTCTTGTGACTAATCCCAGAACATGAACATGATGACTACATTATTGGGTCAGTGAGGCTGAAGAGGTTTAAACACTTCAACTGCTGGTATTGAAATATCTTGACTTTCAAAATGTTCGTTGACGACCCACTTTGTGCCCAAACCTATGCTGTGAAGTCATTCCAATATGTGTCCCTTTCACACGCGGACTGTTGACTGAGGAAAGGGGATGTTTCTTTATATAAAAGCCTAAATCAAATCACAGCACCATGACCACATGATATTCAACCAGCCTTTTGAGCCATAAATTAACCGCAAACTTAATACATTTGTGTTGCATTTTGTGGACTTTTAATCAGTGGTGATTAAATGGCTTTTCAACACTGTAAAAGCATCAAATTAAAACACAAATTCAGCTTATTTTTCTTATTATCATCTTGACTCGATGAGTCACTCACATTCTTTCAAGAGCAAAACCCATACTTATTCAGACCTTCATATAACCCCATAAACACCTGCACACCTGTGTATCAGTTCTGTCACTGTACATTATTTTCTATCTATGGCATTCCTGCTTTAGCTTCTTGCTCTGGTTGTTCATTCACAGCCATCCACATTCTCGTGCATGCTCATGCCCCTTCAGGTGTTACTCCAGTGAAAGGCCTTGTTGTCCAACACACTGGCCAGTTTATGGTTGAAGGGTTGGTGAAATTCCCTGAGGAGGTCACTGGTGGCCGGAAGCATATGACCCAGGTTCCTGTCTGCCATCCGCCGGGTGTTGGATTTGGGCTGTTTGTACAGTGCTGCCTCCACCTGCTCCGACAGAGGACCTGCAGGGAGGATGTCAGAGGCCTTAACTATACAGAAGTGAAGGCTTGAGGCAGAAACAAACACATAAATACACAGCCAGGAAGATATGGGTGTTTTTGGATACGCACTTAGTCCGAGAAAATCAAAAACTTTCTTGATTGTCACTTTAAAGTTGGCTGCATAGTCCTCGAGTCGAAAAACTAGAATCTGCTTGCTATGGAAAACTGTCAGCCAGTCCATCAAGAAGACGACGTACATCCCCAAATTTAGCCTCACCTGTGGAGAGAAAAAAAATCGAAATAAGCCAACATCATAACACATAACACATAACTCTTGAGGTTGTTTTGTCAACTGCTGTTTTCAATGTCAACAATTAATTAAAATGAACAAGTCCTCAAAGTGTCCTGCAGTGAGAGAAATTCAACAGCAGACGTACAGGTGGTAGAAAAAATACATGGAAATCGAATTGGAAATGAGTCACTCTGTTGCACTGGGTGGCATGTTTGTTTCATTATGATGAACATGGGCATTTATTTTGAGTTGAGGCATACACTGTCATTAGGGTCCAAGTTATTCCCAACAAATGCACTAGTCACTGCTTTTTGAGTAACCTTTTCTAAATCTACAGTGGCCAGTATATTTGTGAAATCAACTGCTTCCAATAAATGAATACATAAAAGTATATAATTCTGATATGATGGGCTGCTTAGGTGTGCAGATCAGACCAAAGAATCTTGAGATTTTTTGGTCTGTATCCTGTTGGTTTGAAACAAACCAACAGGATACATAATGGACATATTCAGTATAGTGACACCAAATACTTGTGTTGTGAGCCACACCTGGAGCAATACTTCTATTAATCATTTCGACCTTTAAAGTCTAAGACACTCATAAAGTCAACGTTTAATTCCTGTTTATTGACTGGAAAAGTCAAACGTGAGATGCACCGACACTCTGAGTCCTCAAGAGGGCCCCACAGTGCAACACCGGACTAAGATACTGTGCTGTGATTTACAAGACGAGAGCCAAAAACAGACTTTGAAAGCCCTCAACTTCATTTCATCCAAAACAGATGAGTCATGTCAACAAAAAAAAAACATAATGGTGTTTTTCTAAATGTTTTTGTTAGATTTGAGATGGATTCCGTTTCTGTTCCAAAGGTTTCAGGTCGAGCTGATTGCTGTTTTTACTGAAGTAAATCTCTGGATAACAGTGCTGTCACTGACATGTTGTGATTAGGGGTGACAACGGACACAGCTTATAACTCAGCTGACTCCTGAGGGAGCGCTGCCTGATAGGATATACGCTGAAGCGTCTGAAGCGACTCTGGTCAGCAGCTTTGATTTTTCCCTGCACAGAACGAGTGTGTAGAAAATTCTATTTACAACCACTCGGAGGAACAGGTTGAAAGTCTCAAAGGAGAAATAAGTTGTTTGTCGTTAGGTTTGATTAAATATAGTTATAAAAACTGTAGTTATTCTTCTGTAAAGTGAGGACATCATTTCAGCTAACCGGCATGGCGTTGGAGAGGCTGGTGTTGTAGGCGCAGGATCGAAGTGACCTCTCAGCCAGGCAGGACTGAAACAACTGTACAGATTCTACGACCTTCTGATGGAAATCCTCTGTTGACTTGTTGGCCATCTTAAAGTACAGGTAGTCAGAATAAAGTCTGAGAATAGAAAGAAACAGAGTTGTAAGCCAGTTGGAAATACAAAAGGAAATTTTGCTGGACAAAAAATAGGAGTTATGATTCAAAACAAAAATGCTCTGCAGGAAAATCTTTTGAAGGAATCTAAACTGAAAATCATATCTGCATCCACACAAACAGATTTGTGGATGGTTTTTCCCCACAGTACCTCTCTACTGGATCTCTTAGCAGGATGATGATTTTGGCACCGGGCTGGACTGTGTGGATGAAGTCCTCGGCCAGAAACTGAGGCTCTGTCTCCTCCCCGTCTCTGGGAAGGTAGCTCCAGGCTTCGTTGTCCCACATAGTGGATGCACTGGCTTCACCTGTCAAGACATCGACAGTCTGAGCATCGCCTTGGGTAACAACAGCTACTTTAAAATGCAGCGAGCAGTGCAGGTGCTTATGGCATAATGTACCAAAGTTGAGCTGAACTTTATAGACCAAAATATGCAAGGAGTGTTTGAGGTTCTGTGCACACTTCTAAAACCCTCATTTTGTTCTCTTAGGCCACAGAATATCTAGAATATGTGTAGTGCTTCTGAGATCAGAGCCACTTGTGGGGAATCCACTGGAAAAGAGCGAGGCCTGCCAATAAAGTAAAGGAAAACAAAAGAGACTTCATGGTCGGGATCCAATTTGGTCCTCAGAAAACACCGAATGAAAACTATAAAAGGCAGCACATCATTCCATTTGATGCACAATGGACGGTAACGATACCAAACCATACCCAACCACACACAAAAACACTTTCACATGTGTTCACCTGTTATGAGTGCGCGGTGGTCTCCAGATGAATTTCCACTGATTCCTTCTTGGATGTTGTGGGCAGCCAAGTCAAACAGATCCAGGTAATCTTCCACAGGAAACGTTTCTTGGAAGCCATCTTTGAAATGGATATAACCTGCACCCAAAGGAACACCAAAATAACACCCATTATGTACACTTTTATAGACTTCTTCGCCATTAAATCTATTTAATGGATTGTTTAAGCTTTCAATCAGATTGACTTAAAAGCCTGGAGAAGAATTGTGATCGCAGTCTGCCTGCACAAACCATTGTGACCATTGTGACCATTTTGCAAAGTACTAACATGCACAAACAAAATACATACAGATTGTGGTGGCCCGTTCTTGATTCCTCTTCCTCTGTACTGAGCCACGTTACGGGGCTCTGTTTCTGACTCACACGTTGAACCATCTAAATAATGACTCTTGCAGACACTGCTTTCTTTGCCATCACTTGATTGATTTTATTTTCTCTTTTGACAAATTGCAACAGCAAAATATAATCTGTTAATCGTGAGGTCAAAGACTGTCCCGATGCCCCGTTCCACACAAAGGAAAACCAATACTCGAGACTCAGTCCCACCCCTTCCTCTTATGCCAACTGATCTAAAGAAAAGTAATTATACAGAATCCAAAATGTAACCTTCGTTCATAAATTAAAGGAGTCACACAAATATATTAGCAAAAATGAGAAATTATGATTTGTAATCAAAACTAAAAATATGGCTCTAACACAGATATTGCATGCAGGGAAATAGTAGAATAGAGACAAACAAGCAGAAAACAGACACATAGTACAATAGTTGTACAATATATATATTTTTCAATTTACATATGGTGTCAGCTCACACTAAGCAGCATTTTATTTTGAAGTGGCTGCAGAAGGTCCTCAGCTATAGTCAGTGGTGGTAGGGTAGTTTTCTAGCTTACAGTTCATCTTGGCATTTTCATACTGCTTAATTGGATTTTATTGTTATAAATTATGTGATCTTTTGAATTTATAAAATTTCAATTTTAAATTGTGTGGTGAAAAAAACCCCATCCTTCCTTGAAAGAACATCCTAACAGGACAAAACCTGGACCACAGGAAAAATATGGAGGCAGTAAAATCAGTGGAAGGCTGTCATGAAAATGAGAGTTTAAATGACACACTGTGTTTACTGATTTCACATTTACAAAGCCTAGAAGACAATTTTTATATTTTATCAAATTTAAATTGAAACTGATTTCATTGAGCTTTGAAGTCGGTTTGGAGGTAACGGGTTCATTTCCTTGATTCATTGATTCATCAATTGGTCCATAAATCATCAGAAAACAAAAGGTGACATCAACAAATGTATTGTTTTTGTCCAACCAGTCCAAAAAATAATAATATTAAATTTACTATAAAGCGTCCGGGCAAAGCATAACTAACTGTTGCAGCTCTATTTTAAATCTGTGTGTTTTCCACCATTTCTTTCTTTCGTTTGGATGAATTCAGTCCTCAGTTATAACTATCTTTCAATCCATCAGCTAGCCTCCACCATCAGAATGAAAACATTTAGAATCACCATCCATCTCTTGATGACTTACCAAAGCGTTTCCTGGTCCACCAGTGTGGCTCCTTTATCGTGTTGAACTTGACCTCTGGATGCAGCAGCAGCCTGTAGAACAAGTCGGTCGTTCCGCACTTCGGTTGGCCAACGATGTAGAAGAAAGGCAGGCAGCGCAGACGAAACAGTTTGCCGCCTCGGTGGTGTAAGTGCTGGTGGAAGTTGGTCCTCAGGCGGTCACACACAGTCTTGAAGCGCTTTGTGCGCAGGGCGTAGTGGTTCCTCCTGTATGGATCAGTGCTGAGCTCATCTGAGAACTCCTCATACCAGCAAGGGCTCTTGATGCCGGGCAGGAAATGGCGAGGAATTACAGAAAACAACTGCAGAGAGGAACAAGACAAAATCAGGTAAATACAGGAGGGTGACGAATACAACGGAAATACTCATCAGATTCTACTCTTTGAATTCATGTTAATTACACTTTACACCAGCAGTTACAAGTTCTCGTTACATAAAAAGCATTAAATCTTCCATAATTTAGGGTCACATGACATGATCTTGCAGCTTGTAGTTGCATTATGTTGCCTTGAAAACTTAGTTAGATATTGATGTGTCTAACACTGACATATGCCACTTATTGGTATTCAGCTTACTGACTCACTTGTGTTGCTATCTCTGTAATTGTGATTTACAGTGTATCTGTCAGAGTTACTGACGCCGCAGCCATAAACACTGCAAACATGATTTATGGTAACGTGGAGTAGCAGGATGAGAACATACACCAAACACGATAATTACAGAACATTAGCACATAACAGCAGTCAGTAAGCAACATTTAGTGAGACATGTAACCTGATGTTACTGAACAGCCTTGCAAACTTTGAGTTGAATCAACACCTCTGTCGGTCTCAACAAACACTGGTCGTTATGAGCTTTACCAAATAGGAGTTTACTGTAGGGTTGATTGTAAGGAGTTTGTTATTTCTTGCTGTTGAATTTTTGACAACAAAAAAATAAAGCAATCATAGTGGGTAATCATTAACATTTACCCATGTGGCCTGAATGTTCATTTGTCAGCATGTTTGAGTGAAATCATTGCATAATTGCAAAAACATCCTTTATTGTAGTTGGCTCACTCATGTGCAGCAAAAATGAGTCAGACCAATTTTCCAAAGACTTACATGGACGTTGGTTCCAATGACATCCTTTTCATCAGGCACCTTCCTGGGTGTGTATTCCAGTTTAGAGCTGATGATCTTCACCAGCCGTTTCATGTAGATTAAAATATTTTCAGAAGAAACTTCAGCTGCTGCTGTGCTGGTCGGGACGACCACAGGTCTGACAGGCTGATCGGGCGGGGGTGTGAGCAAAAGCCCTTTCCTGTCCCACGGCAGGATGTGGGAAGCCATGATGAGGAACATCAGAGTCAAGCCCATCAGAAAGCTAACCACTTTGACTTTTGAGATGCTCCGCAGGTTAGTCAGTGATAACCGCCTGAAGCCAAACAATGTCCGGATGGGCCTTTTTCCATAGTTCTTGGTCAAGGGCAAGCTGTGGAGGTTGTGAGTGTGGTCCATTTGGGTGTTGCTCCCATGTTTGCAGTCCGATAGTGACATACTGACATAGAAGCAGCGTAGGCATGCGGAAATTAAAAAAAATTTCACGCTTTACCTTCAGGAGGTCATGTGTCCTGTCTATTCATCATAGTTTTAAATCTGCGTGTCATCATTTGTCTTCATTTCTTACATGCTCCCCAGTCTTCAGCAAGGCCTCCTGTGAATGAGAAACCCTCATGAATAATATATATGACTTCAGTTTTATTTACACCAAAAGTGCAGCAGTGTAGTTTCCTTTAAAGTATTTCAGTCACCCCTCAATAATTCCAAGGAAGTGGTATGAACATGTTTTATATTAGCGTATTATAGGGAGCTGTATCCCCCTCTGAGACACCAGCATGTGAATTTCTAACTATACTCTCTTCTACAGCAAACATCGCCTCTAAAAATGCTTGAGGTCAGCTGCAAAGTGTGTGTGGTCTGCTGTATGGAGATCCCTTGCTTTATGACGAGGGGCTGTTTAGCACATGCAAAGGCCAGCTCTACTAAGACACTTCCAAGGTCAGGATAATAGTTACTCTGTAATTCAAAACTAAAGACACACGATTATTCTCTACGAGCTAAAAGCACACCGAGAGCTTTATTTTGTTAACCTGGAAATATCATTTTCAAGATCAAGGCTCTTCATAGAGAAAACCGCGTTGGGTATTGATACAGGTGGACACGCAGTGTGGCAAATGCATGCATTTTGTTATTCTTTTCCCGCCACATGAATAATAAGAAAGTAGGCATTATTATTTCTAGGGTCCAGTGCTAATGAATTCCAGACTTTGAAGTGTAAAATGTTTTTCTAACACTTCTCTGTACAGCCAACATTATGTGACTCAACATTTTAACACTTACATCATTAAAAAGTGCACATTCAGAGTTTAATGAAAGGCCACTCCACCTCAGCCATTCTCAGTGGATTGAGTCCAATGAAAGATACTATCAAGCTGCATTTTGGGAAGTGTAGGATCCTGTGTTTTTGTAGCTTGAAGCATACATAGCACTAAAAGTCGGGATATCTCGGCCACTGCCTCTTTTTTTTTGATCCAGTCTTTTGTGAGTTGCCGAAGTTTATGGAAGTGCAACACCATATTGGAATACATCTCTAAAACGTTTTCAGAAATCATCATGTCCTCGTAGGATACTAAACAAACCTGCTTGTGACCTGTGCGTGTAAATTCGTTCTCGCCAGCCTATTTTATGTGTTGTTTCTTTTTTTGCTTTCAGCCTTCATCTTATCCTTTTTTTTTATGTTGCAACACTCCTATAAATTGTGAGTTAGTCAAGCAAATTCTGAGTGTGAACTTGCTGAATATGTGCTCAAAGGGCTTTAAAAGTCCAGAAGAAAGCCTTCACACACTTGCAGATTTCATAATGTGACATCTCTGAGCCCTTGCAGACTTATCAGGAATGCATGGCCATATCTGCAGGCCTGTGTGGGATTGGGCAAAGAACTTATTTTGAATCCCTCTTCTAGACATGCCATGGACTTTATTTAACAAAAAATCAGTTGACGGAGGTGGGCTCTCTAAATTCAACTCTAGTATTTCATAAGTTATTAGTGGATGATGCAGTTTCTGATACTACTCCTGATACTTGCCTTGCCCATTATGTGTCTTATATTTCCATATTTGGATGTTGTTTTTATGCTTTGAATGATGTGTTAAGCCCTTTATTGCTATTAAAATGTATGAATGCTACTGGTATCTTTTTTCATTTTGTACATGCAAATCTTTATTCCTACAAATCCTGGTAATTGTTATCCTCTCTGTTCTCTGTAAATCTAGTATTCCCATTGTTGGGAACGTAAAGGAGCGTGTTTGGTTATCAGCAAATATGAAACTAAATTATCAACATCAATGGAGTTATTAATATCAATAAGTTAATTAGTAATTACTAATAAGAACGGGGCACCACCCTGCGGACAGGGACCAATAACCAAACTATAAACTAAGTCTCATAATTAGTGGTCACTCACGATATTAACAGTCTGAGTACTATTACATGTTTGGAGTGTGAGTTAAGGGTTAAGTTCGAGCACAGGCCACTACATCCAGTTGTTATTACACACCTATGCACAAGTAATCACAGACGACTGCTCTTTAAAATATAACAGAGTTTATTTAATCAAAATAATAAATGATCAAATCAAGTAATATCACAATCAACAAACGCTATCATACAATTATGTGTCTAATATCTAAACTCAAATGAATAAAGTGGGGTAAGGATATGTGTATCGATATTTGTGTGTGTGTGTGTGTGTGGGTGGAAAAAAAAGGGGGGGGGGGGCTACTCAACAGTGATGGTGGGTAATCTCAATAGGGGCGTGTGAGCCTACAGACCAAGATGGCGGAGTCTAGAGACCGGCGACAAAATGGCGGAGAGGTGGCTGCTATAACCACGTGGGACGGCGTACCATGTGGGTTGGGGTCAGAGATTACGTAATCACGAGTCTGAGAGGTTCACCCAAAATCAGTAGCTCTAACTACGTGTATGTGCGGGTTAGTAGAGGGAGAGAGAGAGAGAGAAAATCGAGCTCTGAGCGCGGTGCTCTGCGCAGTAGTGAGGAAGTGAGGAACAGCACGCTTTTACGTGATAGTTGTGGTTCTAGATCTCACTCGCAGAGCCGATTTAAAGAGGAGAGAATAAAACCAAAAACAAAATAAAAGAATCCCCAAAACAAACAGATCTTTGTCACTGCGGTGAAATGCGAGTTTGTCTCCCTATCACCCCGAAACTCGGTCGGCCAGATGAGAGTCGGCCACCGTAGTTTTAGTTTTTAAAGTGATAGAATCACAAGCTCCACATCCACTAGCAGCGACGGATCAAATGCGAACGGTTACAGCAGGAAATACACAATATAACGGGACTCTGTGGTCCGCGATGCTGGCGTAATAACACGTTATAACACGACAGTAACTTAACACAACAAGATACAGGAATAACAACGACATAAACGAATAGTCTAAATTAAGCTAATGCTAAGCTAAGCTAGGCCCAGATACCTGTAACTCTTACTTTGAGAAGCTTCGTTCGGCAGGGTCCTTTTCCCATGGTGGGAATCATTCAGTCCTCGGGAGATGAGGGGTCCCGGTGGCGCGGCTATTGGAGCTAGCGCAGACTCAATCCCCTCGCTGCAGAGGGGTTTTCTTGACGTCGCTCGTCTTTGGCCGGAAATCTTCGGCTCTTTAGGGGCTCAGTTGCCCTCTTTTGCCGGCAAGGTGTGCACTAAAGGGTGGGAGGACGGGTCGTAGAGATTATCCGTTCTCGCACTACGGGATCCAAAACTCAAAATAAAACACAGTCTGTAGTTTCGACCAGCGAATGTGACATGTGACCTGATAGGATTTGGCAGGATCAAGTTTTGGCTGTGCTGGGAGGTGTAGTCATTCATCTTGGGAGTTTCCATCAGACGTTGTATGACAGGAAGGAGCATGGGTGCTTCTAGACTAGGGCCAGATCCCAACACCATTAAAGATTAATGTCTAGTTAAAGCAAAAATTCAAAGTGTGAGAGAAGAGAGAGATTTGGAAATGCAAGAGAGCATAAAGAGGACAGTGAGAGTCAAGGGTAAAGCACAACGTGGATAAATGAGGCAAGAGAGAGAAACAGAGAAAAACAGTGTGAGAAAGAGCAGGAAAGACAGCCTTTAGACCGCTTTGGTCTAAAAAATCAATCCGTGCGGGAAAAAGATGGCAGGTGGGATGGACTGAGGTGAAACTCCATCATCAAAGTCCTGCTGACTCTAAATAAAAGCCTGCATTCATCATTGCATCAGATGCCTTTGTTGTCCTAAGACCACAAAATGTCAAGACTCATCTGTTATGAAAGACATAATAAGATATTACTTATGTTGTTGGTGCAATATGTTGGGTTTTTTACCCTCTATATTTGTTAGATTGTGTGAAATGTCTTTTTTCTGAAATGCTCAGATCTGAGCTGAGCTGACGAAGGCACTAGATGATAAGCCAGAAGATCATCAAAGTTATTACAATTCATCCTGAGGAGGACATGAGCGTGTGGACCACATTTCAGGGTAATCCATGCAATACTTGTTGAGATATTTCACTAAAAACAACAAGTGTCAACCTCATTGTGACACAAGAGAAAAAGGTCAGGGGAATGCGAAAGTCATACAGATTCATCATCTGCACAACTTGAATGTCTTTAAAAGATTTCATGGCAATCCATCATGCGGTTGTTTAGATATTTCAGTCTGGACCAAAGTAGTGGACAGTGTGATGGTGTTGCTGGTGAGACTAAATCAACACATCACAACAACTGCTAGCTGCTTGTCCAGATAATTGATAGACTTCCCCACTTTAATGTTTGCATATTGCCAAACCTGCGATTAGGTTTTTTTCAGCACAACCAACCAGATCTGACTGAAAATGACACCTTATGTTGGTTGTATACAACCTGTTCTCAACATCAATGAAGACAATCTTTGTAGAAATGTATGCAGTCTACGAAGAGGCTGGTGTTTTGCATTCTGCCACAGTGTCTTTTTAGATACGACCACCAGGGGTGCCAAGAATAGATGTTTTCAAATTCTACACATAGTGGCTTTAATTATCATGTCTTAAACACACATGCATGTCATCTCATTTTTATAATAACTCTTTTTTTAAAACTATAAATGAAAAAAATGTTGTCTTTACTTTTTTACCGATTTGTAATAATGTGTTCAGCTGTGATAAAAGTCCATGAAATCAGTATCTTTCTGTTTCATGGACAAACCATGAAGGTCGTTGTTTTTTGATTAGCCCCAGCTGTACAGGTTCCACAGCTGCATGTCAAATATGGAATTCAACCTTTTGCTCTGCTGATAATTATTAACAAAGTGCAAGTGCTTCCTTGTAGTCCTATCTCCTTCAGACAAGGGGACAGTATATCAAAACGGGATTGCATTTACTATGACTATTCAGATTTTCATTTAATATCTGCTTGATTTATTAAAAATTCAGTTTGGGCAGTTAAAATGGGTGGAGGAAATGCAATTACATGGGAGTGTCTTGCACCCTCTCATTTACAGTATACCTCTCTATCTACCCTTTGACACAAAGTGATGCCAATCAGCCTCACCCCAATCTGTGTGGCGAATATACCCACTGAACAGCAAATGAAAATCAACATTCCTGCAGAGCTCTTTCAGAGGTACAATGCTGCATGCAATGCTGTATTGCTCAGTCAACATTATGAAATCTAAGCATGGAACAGAGCTTCTACAAATGTGAGGAATGCGATGAGACAATCCGTTCCAAGAGCCAGCAATCATTACACACACACACACACACACACACACACACATGTATTCTCGCCTCACCTGAAACATGCTTTAATCATGTCTCCATGTTTACATCTATGTAAACACATTCTGAGTTTGTCCAGTACACTCTGTGACTGGGACTTGGCTGAATACCAGCACTGGGGAATGGGAGGCACAAGAGAAACTAATGCCACAAAAGGAAATAAGACAGCCTCCCTGTTGGTGGAGGAGTCAAACAAAGATGGACGGGATACCAAATCTGCAAGCTATAGAACTTTCTCTGTGTGGATGAAGAAGAAATGAAGCCAAAATGAAGTTCAGTCGGGAGGACTCTCTTTACACTCTCATTCTTTCATTCTCTCTGTCTCTTCGGCTTCTACTCAGCTGATTAAGTTAACCAACCAGAGTTCACCTCCAGTCTCAGTCTCTCCAGTCAGTGACTCTCCCTATAAAACTAAAATTTAGGAGACAGGTACTTTGAAGTACTTTGAACGAAAGAAAATAACAATTACTCCCTAAGCGCATGCACAAAGGCGTTTATGTTCAATGCGTTGTTTGTTTCATTATTCTCCAAAATGCGTACAAACAAAATGTAATGTGAAGAAGCAAAAAGACTACGAGTGTAACCGGCAAAACGGCATAAACCAACCTCCTCAATGCTGAGGGGTATGTAAACTCATATCTCATATTTATGATCTACTCCGTCTCATGATGCTGAAGAAGTCATCCCTTTTCTTTTAATTTCCATTGAAATAATGGTTGAGTGGGATGATTTTCTATCGCTGAAGAATGAACTTTGCCTTCACAGGAAACTGACTTTTTCATCTGTGAAATAAGCAGGCTGTTGAAGCTACGGTACAGTCTAAGCAAAACAGCACTCGAGATATTAAACATCTTGTTTAACAGCAGTGTCTGTTTTGATCCGCCAGGTCACCACAGTCCATACTCACATCTGGAGTACAGAGGTGGTCCTTTAAATCTAAACTGTGTACATATGCATGCGTGTAAGTGTATATATTTGCATGCATGTTTTTCTAACAGGTTGTTTGCTTTAGCCGCGCTTTAAAACCGATGTAGCGTTAATAACAAGCAGAGAGCACTTGTCCTACTGTTTAACGAGTGTGAGGGAGAAGGAACAGGCAGGTCTGAAGGCATGCTCTGAGGCCCCTTAAAGGGTAATTCCGGTTTACTACAAGTGAGTCTACGCAAAAAGTGTTGCTAATGTTCCCTCATTTCCCAGAATTGTATTTCACCGGTGTTTCTCACAGTGGGTGGCCTCGACTTGGGTGTGTGACACAACCATGTCAGGGCAGGTGTATTGCTCAGGACCCAAGGAAGCACAGTGTGAAGTTGTTGTAAGACTTACTCGCAACGTTGTGATGTTCAGAAAATGCA